CGAGCATAAAATCCTGCTGACTTGTGCGTGCGGCGTCTGGGCTTCGGGCAGCCTGCTCGGAGTGACGGCGCTGCACTAGCTGCCAAACATCTGGCAGCTTTAGAAAATTGCTGGGGAAGGTGACCAGGAAAAGCAGCTGCCTCCTCCTCTTTCCCCCCAGAAAATAGTGTTTGGCCAGGCACTTTGGGTTCACTGGAGCTAGAAAAGGATTCAGGAAAGGCATCTATCTGGGACGCAGAGCACAGTGAGTTACAGAAGCTCTGCAAATTAGTTTTTCAGACAACTATAAACAAGGCCAGTAAAGCTGGAAGCAGCCTGAGCATGAGCTGCAGAGAACCGCATTGCTCGGCTCGGTGCAGTCAGACTGTTAACTTGAACCATCAAAGCTGCAATATCGACACCAGCAGTTTAGCTGCTGCAGTATTTGAGCACAAGTATCCAAGCAATGTTAGCCTACATTCCCAAACTCCTACTGCTGCCATCTCGTGATGCAAAAGGCCCAGCTTCCTCTTTGCCAGCTGTCTGTCAACACGCTCAGCTTTTCCCTGGATAACATTGACAGCACGGGGATTCATTTCACCAAATTCGGTGCAAAATGCAGATGCTGCACTCCTTCCAACCCTGAGTATATGTAAGCATCCAAAAATAAATGTTATGCAAAGATAAATAACACAAGGAATACTCAGGAGATGATTTTATTTTTATTGAGTTCATGACAAGAATTCAGCATGTAAATTTAAGTAAAGATGCTGCAGGTTGTTGCATTAAATTGCTGGAGGCCCTTGCAGAACATACGTTGAACTTCTTGTGCCCCTGAGTGCATTTATAACCTGTATAACAGCCTCTAATAGTTGAATAAAACACGTGGATCTGCCTTTTAGATAAGGGAAGCTCAGGATGAGCTACCAGCTTGAAGCTCAGGATAGGATTTGCTTTGCCTGAAGGCAGCTGCCGAGAAGTCGGGTGTCTGGATATTCCAGGTGCTGCTGTTAAGGTGCTGTGGGGAGCAGGGGTCGCTAAACAAAACCTGCCTTGAAAAATGGCCATTTTGGTCAATCACTACCCAYGGTGTACTAACAGCTGTGTGGAACTCGCTGACTGTAGTTTCTGTGCTTGCTAATGCTACTTTGAGCACTGCAGAGATTAAAAAGATTAGAGATTGAGAAAACAGGGTTTAAGAGAGGACAGGAAGGTAAAGCTTGGCTAACTGGATATTAGAACAGCAGGTAACTATGCTGTAATTTGTCAAGAACAGCATTAACAGCATTTTTGTGGGGGCAAATACCTATTTTAACAAATTCTTAGGAAAATATGCTCACAGCATTGTTACCTGAACAGCATCTAACAAAGAATGCATCACAGGACAGTACAAGGGTGACTCCCATAGTTTTTGCTCATGTCAAAATGACATTCAAATTCTGCTCTTGCCTATAACTGTGTTCATTTCAGTGTTCCGTAACTGTGGACTGCTGTTGAATTATCCTAGAGAACTGCATGCCCTTTAAACTATTTTGTTGGGAAAATATATGCAAAAGTGACCTTTTCTTAACATGAGCAAAAAGCTTAAATCAATCTTGGAATTTGGGAGATCCTCCACCCCCAAATCATAATAGCAACATCGAACGGTGAATGAGAATGTGGCTCTGGGCAAAGGAAGGGACAGAAACAGCACTTTCGTAAGAGCAGTAAGGACTGATTTCTAGGATCCTTGTTTTGTAGTGAGCCTAAAAGCCAGGGAGAAATTTATTTTACTAACTCGGATCAACTTACCCTTAGGAATTTCCCATTCAGCTATGGCATCAGACTGAATCTTTCAATTAGCTCTTTCTTCTTGAAAAAAAAAAAAAAAAAAAAAAAAAAAAAAAAAAAAAAAAAAAAGAGGGTTATTAGGAGCTATCCAAATGCCTTCTCCCACTTATCATTGAGATAAAAGTCTTCAGAGATCAGGCAGCGAGTTGCTTGGCACTTAAAAGGGAGAAGTCTCTTGTCATTTCAGCATAGAAGCATCTGAGCAGAACTGCATTCAGACATGATACTTTAATAATTCTGAAGACAGTTTTTAATCAGCAGCCTCAAAAGGCTGTTCTGTTAATGAGCAACTGAAATGTTGTTATAAAGCCAGGCAGCAGTTTAATTTAGACAGACTTCCTTACAGCTCAAGAGTACAAAAGAGCAAGGTGAGTGGCCTACAGGCCTTGCAGTTACTGCCCAGGGATGAACCGGAGGGAAAGAAAAGCTATTTGCAGTTTAATTAGCTGGATAACCTATAGATGAGAATGATAACCAGAGAAATGCCAGTGACCAGCTGCTACAAGAGCTGTACAACTTAATGCCCACACAGTTTGATTTATGAGGTACAAAACATTTCATTTGCAAAAAAACCCAACCCTGCTCTGCAAGAAAGTGTCATTTCTTCAGCCGGTGTTTTTGGGCTCCTTTGAATTCTGCTGGCGTGGCTGGGCTGAAGGCAATTCCTGGCAGCGCTCTTCTGGCACACTCATTAAGCTCAGTACTATATCATCACTTTAAAACTAGAGTGGATTGTAAATAAACAGCAAACATGATGACTCCACAGAAAGCCAACCCGGCGCTGAGGGCAGTTTCAATTGTTAGTGCTTCCAGCGCGTGCTGTTTTCAGCAGTTTTGAGGCTCTTTCTCCTGAGCAGGGCAGTTCTGGCGCTCGGTGCTGTGGCCGCTTCTGGGGGTTGTGGCACTGTTTAACGCAAGTCACTGAGTGCAGCAGCGAGGCGCGCTGCCGTGAACTTCATTTCATAGGAAATGCAATTGAAAATCAGATATAGTTGAAAAATCCTCCTGATGTCCCCATGCTTTGTTCACCTCGAGACTATCATTCAAGTTCAGAATTGAAGCAGCCCTGGTTTCTAAGCACCCTGCTCAATGTCTACGCAGGGCCACGTGTGTGTCAGGGCTGCACACGCAGTGTCCTCCTGCCCGTCCCTTGCACGGGGACTAAGTGGCGGTGTCTGCAAACAGGAAATACTGCTCTACAAGCAACCGGACACATCTGTGTATACTGGAACCAGCTGTTCCCAAGCAATCTCCTGTTAAAGGAGATTTTTAAAACCAAAATAGTGCTCTCTGGGCCTTCACAAGCCAATGCTCTTTTTATGATTCTATATTCAGCTTAAGCTGTTAGTACACCAATATTTGCTTTATTGCATTTTTAGCTGAGTAACATTTCTTAATTTAATCTTGTATCTCTCTAATGACCTTTGCAGGGTGCAGAATTTCAGATTGCATTTACATATGAGACACAGCTATTTCGTTAAGTAGGAGACATATTATGAGGATAATCAGTTTATCTTCAGCTGTAATTCTATGTCTAGCAAGGATTCAAATTTCTAGGATAGCTAATGGCTCAGTGAAGTCTGGTAAAACGCCTCTGAGATAAATCCCAGCGTAATRAGATCGGTTAGATCTAACTGTAAAATAGAAGAGATGCTTCATTTTCATTTTAAAAGGCACAGCTTGGATGTGCTTTGCTTTATTTTACAAGTAGACAGAGCTGTACCTAAAATAAAAAAGAAATGCTGGAACTGGATGGATCTTTTGAATATGCATAAGCTAAAAAGGGCAAAATTAAKCTTAAAAAAAAGAGTGAGCTTCATGTAAGGTTAGATTTGGGTGACACTTACTCTACAGAAACTAATTTGCCTCCAATGCAAATTATCTGGAGAAAACATGGGTCTACTTTATAGCTTCACAGAATATGTACTCACATGGAATACGAGCACTAAAATAATACAGATGGCAAAACAACAGTAACAATAACAATTTAAATCACAGAATTCTCCAGCTACACATACAAAGAAGGGATCCCTGATGAGCTAAGTATCAGTCATCTGGCTTCTCTGCATTTAGCTTCATACTTTGACTGATGCATCAGCAGCAGTTTCACTATAAAATGCACGCAGCAGAACAGGCTTTTGCTTCCTTATCATTTTCGTGCAGTCATAGGCCTTGTGAGAGGAGCTGKACGGGCCCCTCTGCCTTTGTTTGAACACAAAGCCTATCCAGTGGCAGGGCAAACTTCCAGGACTGTCAGTACACTTTCATTCTGGGACCAAGAGAGTAAGAAATTGCTTTCATGCAAAAATATTGCAGGGAAAAAAAGTCAAAGGAATATATATTTTTTTTTTTCCTGAAATTGCTCTATATTTTGGAGTCATTGTGAATAACTTTTTCAAGCTTTAACCTCCGAGGCAGCTCAGGAGTTTTTAGCAACTGTCACTGTCATCACAGCCCCAGTAGTTTTGTATCCCCAAATTTACACGTGACGGGTAGTAACATTTAAGCAGGGATGGACGGCTCTTCTGACACCTCTTGCGAATTAATTCTGAGTTACAGGATCTCAGTGGCTGTAGCAGATCCCTCTCACTGAGGCAGAAAGATGATCCTCTGTTCCCATCATTTCTGAGATTCGGTGTGAAAGTTGATCCCTAGACARGATAATGTATCTCCCAAGGAACATTTGAATAATTAGCCAAGTAAAGAGCCCCTGTAAAATAATCACAGTAACAAAAACATCTAGAACTTTAACAGTAGTACAGATTTATATACATATGTACATCTTAAACCATGTCTATACGTTTGAGCATGTTCTCAGGAAGACTCTTTGGTGCTGGAATGAAACTGCCTGCTATTAGTGCAATTAAAGACCTTTTCCTAGCCATCGCAGCCACGAGCTCTACCGCCCGCGCTCACGCACTGCGGAACTGCCCCACTTCACGGCTGCTGAGCTGCTAACAAGGGTTTACTGAGAAGATTCCCCAAGCCGCACCGCTCCGAATGTGCCGGATTTGAACTCATTTTGAAGACAGAGCGTCCTGCTAGGACCAGAGGGACRAGCAAGACGTTGCGGCCTAATGGCGGCCCCACCGAGGCGGCCGTGACGCAGCTCCCTGGCGGCACCCCTCCCTCCCCGCGCCTGCGCACGGCTCGCCGGAAGTGCGYGCTGCCCCGCCTCGCCGCTCACCAACATGGCGGCGTCTACAGCTCGCTTGGCGGCCCGGCGGCTCCTCCTGCCCTGGACCGGCCGCCTCGCGCCGGGCTGCGGCCCGGGGAGCCGGGTAAGCGGCAGCGGCGGCGGGAGGGACCTGACCGGCCCGCAGGCTCCTTCTGCGGTGTCCAGCCTGCCGGAAGGGGGCTGTGTGCGGGGTGGAAGGGATGGTGGTTTGGTGTCGCGGTGCATGCCGGGATTTGTAGTCCCAGCRCCGGCCGGGTGGCTGGACGCCCATCGGGCTGCAGGCGGCTGCCGCGCTGCATGCTGGGAATTGTAGTTCCCCCCGCGGCTGAGGGGAGCGCGGRCGGCCCCGGCTCCGCACGGAGCTTCGGCGTCGGGTCCAGGGAAGGCTCCTGCCCCGCGAGGCCGRGAGCGGCGGCCGGGGGCTCTGCCCGTGCCCGAGAGGGACCACGGCCCTGCTGGCCCCTAGCTGGCAGCAGCAGGCCGGGCTAGGGAGCCCAAGCCCCTTCCCACCCGAGTTGTCCTGCGGTCCCGAGAGGCTCCCCCGCGCCTGGGGACTCCCGGGTAACTGGGATCCAGCCGGCCCGGTGGGATCCAGCCGCCMTCTCCTGCTGCCGAGCTTTGGAGCCTGAGGGCTGGTCTGGCTGCTTCCAGCGCTAGCGCAGTCACAAAGCGAGGGCAGCCCGTGTTTCACACAGTTATGTATTTATTTCGAGTAGTTTATTGCTCTTGAAGGTGCTCCTTTGGGATACGTTCCAAGATCGCGCTCACTTACTACATCAAGAAGCTTTTTCTTGAGCAAAACAAACAAAAATCAGCCAGCTCTCCCCTCCTCACCCCCTGGTTCAGGACTAATGTGCTGCAGCTGCCGGGCGGCTGTGCAAGAGGTGTCCCTTTTGGATCGGGCCCTGCTTGGAGGAGAGGGTGACAGGGGTTGCAGCCACTGCCGGGTACCCGGGGGAGCCTCAGGGACGCAGCTGAGGCCCCACGCRCTGCTGCCGGCACCGGTGGAGCCTCCACGCTTTCCTTCAGGACAAGGTTAAGCCCTAACTCAAAGGACTGGTGAATAAATCAGTGCTAACTTTGTTTTTTTCTTGCTTATTTCTTTTTTTTTTGCCTTAGATGCATGCTTAAGTTGAGGAATGCGTTTTTCAGAAGACTTTATCTAATGTATAATGCATAATCTRAGCATAACGTTCCTTTCTTTACAGTGCCTGCATATTGGAACAGGCAGGTTCAGAGCGACCAAAGCAGCAACTAAAGTGCTCTTAAATGTTCCAGAGACTAAGGTTTCTTCTCTGGAAAACGGCTTGCAAGTAGCTTCAGAAGATTCTGGCCTCTCCACGTGCACAGTAGGTTTGACTTGTAATAAGGCTGTTTTTCATAACCATATTGTGTTTTGATTTTCTTATGGAATTAAGCTGAATGCTTTCCATTTTTTTTTTTTTTTTTGATAGCAGTTGCTTTTAAAAATTAAGCTTGGAAGTGAGAGTCTTAAGGCTTTTGTAAAGGACTTGCAATTAGATTTTTGTTAGGTTTGGATTTGTTTTCCTGAAAATCTGGTTTCTTAGAGGAAAAAGCCATTATAAAATAGTTCTTGAAAAGTAAGTGTAGTCCAATGCAGAAAAAAAGAGCAAAGTTATGTTGTAAGATGTTAAGATTTTCTTTGTTCTTTTTTTTCCTCCTTCCCTCGAGGTTGGACTTTGGATTGATGCTGGAAGCAGGTATGAAAATGAGAAGAACAATGGAACTGCTCACTTCCTGGAGCATATGGCTTTCAAGGCAAGTTTGAGTATTGATTTGGCAAAGTTAAAATGAATTTCTAAGTAACTGGTTTTTAAAGATTTATAAGAACTTTATCAAATCCTCTAAAAAAATTTCAAATCAAGAAAAAAAAGGAAGTAGCCTATGTTCTGGTTTCAAAGAAGTCTTTCTGATACACAACTATGAATTAGTAGCACGGGACTAATTTATGGCACTTTAACCTTGTTTCAATATCTCAGCACACAGTCYCTCTTCTACTAGCTTTTTATTTTCATTTGAGAGTGCAGTAAGTTTTATACTGACTTTCTCATTAGGAGAGATTGATGTGCCATTTTTTTGTTTTGTTTTTCCTTCACTTATATAGACGAGAAGTAGAGATAATGGAAGGAAATTCAGGGGTCTTCTTTGACTATTTTTTGTTTCAGGGGACAAAAAAGAGGTCTCAGTTAGACCTTGAACTAGAGATTGAGAACATGGGAGCTCACCTGAATGCCTATACATCCCGGGAACAAACAGTGTATTATGCAAAGGCTTTTTCCAAAGACTTACCAAGAGGTAACTATTTTCATTCATCAGAAAAGCAGCAAAGAATGAAATACTTACCTGGTTCCTTGGGAGGAGAGTGATGCTTTTTCAGTGCAACAGTCCCTTCCTTAAAGGAAAAAATAAAAAGAACCCCACATTCTTCATGAATGTCGCAGGAAAGGGCAGAAGGCAGGTTTGGGAAAGAACATGAAGCTGAACCATCTTTACTAAATTCTGAAAAGAAAATCCCTTTGGGGCTCCTCTCTTCYTGCAGAGCATCCTCTTGTCCCTTCTGAAGGAAAACTTTAGCATTTTTAGCATCCTGCTAAAGATTAAGAAAAAAAGAACCAAACAAAAGCCTCCAGAATGAACTTAATAGCTAATCTTCGGCCTCTTGGCTTCAGGGGTGGGTTTTGCTTTGAAATTACTCTTTTTCTAGTAGTTTGAAAGTACACTTTGCATTTCCATCTCTCAATTAGCTGTGGAAATCCTTGCTGACATCATTCAGAACAGCACCCTGGGAGAGGCAGAGATTGAGCGGGAGCGGGGAGTGATTCTTCGAGAGATGCAGGAGGTGGAAACCAATTTGCAGGAGGTGGTTTTTGATTACCTTCATGCCACGGCCTACCAGAACACAGCCCTGGGACGAACCATCCTAGGACCCACTGAGAACATCAAGTATGTCCAAATACCTATTTTGGTTATGCTGTAACTTTGCTTATTTCCATATCTCACCTACTCCTCTGAAAATGTAGGGAACAACTTCAGTTTTTTATTTCCATTCTGGAAATAAAAGCAGGCAAGGTTACATTGAATGTAATGGTAAGAAGAACTTAAAAATGCATCTGCCATGAAATTAGAAACACTTTTTTCCCCCTCCATCAGGCAGATGTCAGGCAGWACCATAAATACAACTGTGTACCCTACTCATGCAGCACCTGCTTATGCCAGGAGGCTCTGAAATGTGCTCAGTTAAAGCTGGCATGAGGGCAGCAGCGGTGCCATCTCCCCTGAGTGAGCTCAACAGCAAGCACTGTGGTGATCCATGCCTCTTTGGGGGAAGTAAGCAGAGCCTTGAAAGTCCCTATTTGCTRCTTGGAAATGGCTCTTATTTGAGCTGCCTGCCTCTGTGCACACCCTGTGCATTGGCAGAATTTAAAATCCTTCTGGCATTAGGTTGCTCTRTACATGCATCTGTACATAAATTCTACCTGTTATAAATTATACCRATMCTGTAGTGATGGKTTTGTTTGTTTGTTTGCTTTTCTGCACTGTTTTCAGATCCATAAACCGCAATGACTTGGTGGAGTATATAACAACACATTATAAAGGACCCAGGATAGTGCTGGCTGCTGCTGGAGGTCAGTATGAGACATTGGCTGGATTGTGTGAAGCTGTGCTTAAAACCAAGGTCTGTTTCTGGGGACAACRTGATGATTTACCCACTCTTCAGCGGGTCCTGGAAGTTCATTGTTAACCCRGCACTTTCGGGTTGTGTCTTCATATCCTTTAATATCTGTTCCCTCTTTCCCTCTGTAATATTTCAGGAACATTCTTAAACCAGTAGTTAGGAGTGAGGGGGCCAAGGTCATTCTGCCATGTGAGCAGGAAAAAGAAGGGCCTGGAGTTCAGCACAGATAGAGGAGTAGCAAATAAATAAATAAGTAAATAAGGCAGAGAGCAAGAGAGGGGATAATACTGAGGCTTGAAATTGGGAGCAAAGAGCTTGATTTTGGTATAATATTGATAGGAGACTATCGGAGAGAGCTAAGGAAGGTGATCGTGAAGATCTTAGTCTGTACTGTAATGGAAATGAGGAATCTAAAAGTGTGTTTTTGAGATGGGGAAATTATAAATTACTACTTAGTTGAGACCTTAGATTGCGAGTAGCRTCAGAGTGACTGTGAATTGCCTTTGCTCAGGGGTCTGTCACGACGAGCTGCTCGACCTGGCGAAATCCCATTTTGGCAGCTTGCCGTGCGCTCCRGAGGGAGGACTGCCGGCCCTGCCGCCCTGCAGCTTCACAGGGAGCGAGGTAGGAAGCGGCGCGGGGGCCCTGGGGCTGGCCCTGGCGTCCCCATCCTGGCGTGAGGCTCCTCTGCCTCCTGCACAGCACACACAGCACATTGGGAAGCTCTTGTGCCCCGGGAAGGGCAGCAGGAGCTCTGCTTTCCAGAGCAGTCTCTTCCAAACCTCCCCACGCTGCCTCCCTGCCACGGCTTCCTCACCAGCTCCTACAGCAATAGCCCCCTCGCTGCAGCTGCCTCCCCTTTGCCCCCTGCCTGCGTTGGGGCTGCAGCCTTTTCACTTACTGGGAGCTAATGGTTTAAAGGACATGGCTGAGGATGGAGATCACAGGATCCCAGAATGGTTGAGGTTGGAAGGGACCTCTAGAGATCATGTAGTCCAACCCCCTGCTCCAGCAGGAACACAGATATCTGTATTTGAGTTCTAACTCTGTTCAGATTTTGGAAAATCAGCACCTTTCTTTATAAAAATGTCATAAAATGATGTCATTTGTCACAAACTGATTCCTGTCACTAAATGTGACATTGAGTTGAATTCCTCTGAGATGCCCTAAAGATGAGAGCAGCTAAGGCTGGCATTACACAATACTTGCCAAGCCTCCACCCGTGGTTCTGTGTGTGCGTGGCCTTCGGCGCCCGTTTGGTGCAGCCTCTGCCTCCCGCTGTTGYTGGTGCCTGTGCCACGGTGCGGGTTGCGCTGCAGCTGCCCGGTGTGCCCGCAGATCCGGATCCGGGACGACAAGATGCCCTTGGCGCACATCGCGCTGTCCGTCGAGGCGGCCGGCTGGTGTCACCCGGACACGATCCCGCTCATGGTGGCCAACACCCTGCTGGGGAACTGGGACCGTTCCCTGGGAGGCGGCGTGGTGAGTGACCCTGCGCCCCTCCTCCTGCTTCCTGCACCCTCCTGTGATACTTGCTCCCTCCATGGAGGAAATCGGAAGGCTTTCAAAAACCTTCACTGAGAGACTTTCTGTTGCCTCAGCAGAGTTTATCGAGTAAGCTGGCCCAGGTGGCCTGCCAGGGCAACCTGTGTCACAGCTTCCAGTCCTTCAACACCTGCTACACGGATACGGGCCTCTGGGGCCTCTACATGGTCTGCGAGCCCTCCACTATCCAGGACATGGTGCACTCTGTTCAGAGAGAATGGTAAGGACATGGGGGCTTCTCTGGAAAGCTGCTCCACAGAGGAATTCTGGTCAAGGAGGATGCTCTTGTTTCTCTGTTTAGACCTGCCTAGAAATAGATCAAGTTCTGAACTTCGATATTCGAGGGCTACAGTCCCAGCCACTGGTTTCTGGCAGCCCTTATTTCAGAGTGAAGTGTTAGAGGTTTAGCTCTCCCCATGGAATAAATACTAACTGCAGTTAACATGTAGGGCTCCTCGTACAAGAAAGCAGGGCAGTGACCCCTTGGGAGGTTCAAGTGACAGGAGCCATGGAAATGTCCATGAAAGCTCTTAGCCTACAAAGGCAGTGAGTAAACAGCACCTGGGAGCTGCATGCGAGACAACTGGAAGAGCACACGGTCCAAGTACATGTTCTTGGGTTTAGAATATTAATAATTAATTATTTAATGCTTCCCTCTGTCTTTCTAGTAAAGGCTTCTCTCCTACAGTGTGCTGCAGGGGTAGAGTTTACTGCCTGGCTCTCAGTGAGACTGTCTCTGGTTAATTATCTTTAAGTGTGTAGCTCTTCCTTACCAAAGAGTTAGCAAGTACAGTTAGCAAACACAGACTGTACTTAAGTTAACTTAAATGAATTCCCCTTCTTCTAAGGGAAAGAAACGATTCTTTGGCTGAATAGTGGGATACTTCCAGAACACCTTTATGCTCCTCATGGAAATCCTGTGCTTCCATATCAAGCACTTTTATTTCTGTCCATAGGAAAAGAAATGCCTTGGTAGATAGGTGCAGCCCTTTATCCTGGGCAGTCCTGTGGGTTGGCATTCTTCACTGCCTTGGTGGTTTTAACCTGTTTTTCAGGATAAGACTTTGCACAAGCGTTTCAGAAAGTGAAGTAGCTCGAGCCAAAAATCTTCTAAAGACAAATATGCTGCTACAGCTGGATGGTGAGACTTGAGCACAACTTTTTATGCTTACTGTAATTGTATGCTGGTAACTGAAGCATTGACCCTGCCCCTCGTTTCAGGCTCTACACCGATTTGTGAAGACATTGGGAGACAGATGCTGTGTTACAAGCGCAGAATCCCCATTCCAGAGCTTGAGGCGAGAATTGATGTGAGTGCTGCTTCTGCTGGGATTCTGAACTTAATTGGTATAGGAAATGACAACACAGGGCTTAGAGTATTCTCTAAAGGGGAAAAAAAAAACAATTATTGCTGCCTGTACATCTGGAATATACACAATGAAGAACAGTAGCTGTTACTTCTCTTAAGCCAAAGGTCTCTCTTAACCCCTCTCAGGCCATCGACACGCAGACTCTTCGAGCCGTTTGCACCAAGTACATCTGTGAGCAGCGTCCTGCAGTTGCTGCTATAGGTAGGTAGAGTTGTGCGAGTTCCCTTCCCCTAGCTCCCCCCCAGCCCGGGCACTTGAGCGTCTGGCACGGCTCATTTTCTTTAACTTCCAGGTCCCATTGAACAACTTCCAGAGTACAACASTATCTGCAGCGGCCTGTCCTGGTCTCGTGCTTCGTGAATAAAAACATCTTTGCGTTTTAAGAACAAACTCCCTGCAGTTCAACGTTTTTTTCACTTGGAGAAATGCCTTGGGGAAGATTAAAACTCAAGTACCCCACGCATTCTTGTGTCTCTGTATAATTAAGGAATGAGTGAAAATGTGTACAGTATTTGTATTTTTATTATAAAACAAAGATTGTCAGTAAAAGTCATTTCCTGACTTTAGTAGCATTCATCACTTGTTCTTGAGCAGCTTTCTTGGCCTTGACCATTTCAACAAGTTCCTGGAAGATTTGGAAAGAAGAAACAAGTGAACAACACATAGGTACCCACAAGCTAGTTGCTGCTTTTGAGGGCAACAGCTATTGGGCCTCAGCCACTCTAACTGTGGACACTGGGCAGAACCTAGACAGTTTAATATCTTATAGTCATTTCTCTTGGAACTAAATGAAGGGAAACTGATCTCCTTTTCGGGGTGAATTCTGCTCTTCTCCCCCTCTAGTGCTTCAGAGCAGCAGCCAGGGAGAATGTTCTATCCTGCGCAAGAAGCTACTGCAAAACTGCAAGAAAAGCTCCAAGCAGCAGCCTCGCCTCCCTAGTTCCCACTGCACTAATCTCACTGAATACAGGAGAACTCTGCACTGCTCTTTTATCAGGTAAGAAGTCTCATCAAAAAGCATTTTCCCGAAGGTGCCAGCGTGCAGGCAGCGCGTTGCTCTCACCTCAGCAGCAGTGGGAGCGAGGCCCCTACCTTGTATCGCTTCATGCAGTCCTTCTTGGAGCGGCCCGGCACCGCGGCTGCTATCTTCTCCCACCTCTCAGGCGTATTTACTGGGTAAGTCTTCAGTGCTTGTTCTAAAAGCTTTTGTTCTTCTGTAGTCCAAGGCAATGAATCTAAAGGCGAGCCTGTTTTTAAATGCAAAAATGACCATAAAACAAGGTATTTAATAAGGCAGGCCAAGGGAATCCACCTGGAAAGCATTCCAGAACATCAGTAACTGCTTAAGGAGCCTTCACTTGTACTGTGTGTGAAACATGCGAACTACATACTACATGTGAAACATGCAAACAAATGCAAACTGGGATCATCTTGGTAAACTAGGAAGGGTGTTTAAGTAATCCAGGTTTACTCGGGCTTGCCCTGCAAGCAGGGGCCACACATGCACACGAAGGGCTCCTCCCTGGCCTCACCTTCAAACCGTTCCGAGGGGGCAGCGCTGTCCATCTGGGGCACCACCCCGTGCTCCTTCTTGAACTTGTCAAACGCTTTCTTGTTTATATCATCTTTTTGATGGGGGTCTATAAACAACAGACACTTAGTAGATTAATTATTGCACCAAAATTAAAGTCATATATAATGATAAAGACAGTGTGTTGCGGTTTATTCTAACACTGATACTCACACAAGCGAAAGACTTGCTTTTCTTCACTTTAAGAGGTCAGTGAAGAGGCTGGTAGGTAAAATCTTTCAGCCAACAATACATTTTATTACTGGGAGACTTTCCACCTCCCTCTCCTCCTTGYTCCCCGGGACACCTTCCCCCCTCCTCTGAAGGCTGAATCTGCAACTTCCTTGAAATCCCTTTTCAGTTTGCTGCAGGCTGGGGGCCCAAAGCCCCTGCACTTCCCGAGCACCCTAGGGGTGGTCAGGAACACCAGGACACCCAGGGCTTCCCTGGGTGATGAGGTGGCTTGGAGGGGAGAAGATTTAGGTTTAAAACTTCTTTTCCCTATAGCAACATGTTTTGATCTTTTGTTGAGAACTTATTTCAGAGCCTCTTCTCAATAGCCCAAGTGCTTCAGGTTCACACTAATTCAGCTGTTTCACTCATTCTACATTTATTTTAGATGCAGTTGTTAATCAGAGCTTTTCCAGAGGCCAGTTGGGTTTCACTCTGAGTGTAGATGAGTCCWGGCGAGGAGCCTGGCTGACATTTAACCATGCAGTAAGTGCCTGAGCTTCATGGAGCAGGTGGTGACTCACGCATGGCTAAAAAGACTGRGACACAGAAACACTCAGCTAACTCCTCCAGCTGAGCTACGTTTGTCCTTGGGATGTAGGGAACATTTTTCTCTAAAAGAAACAAAATGCTCTGCAAAGGGGAAAAAAAAAAGCCCTAAAAGCCCTAGAGAAGGATGCAGACCACCTTATAACAAAAATAAGCTAATAAAGATACCGAGTTTTTGGAGGCTCTTTGCTTTATTGATGACATCTTTTGCCGTTCGTTTTATTCCAGTAGTAGAGTGCAGGTTCATGTAATTGGCAATAACCTCCCACCTAAAGCAAGAACAGGAAGGGGAAAACAGCACGTTACCTAACGGGCACTAACAGCTTCTAAGTGTCCTTACAGAGGACTTGTAAAACATGTACATGTGTATTTTGGAGAGCAAATGAGATTATTTATGTCTGCCATTCTGGTCTCAATGCAGCACTTTCCCTTAAGGAGGGAATGAGGCCTCCTGGGTTCTGACACAGAAAGGRGAGTGACAGGACTTGTTTAATAAGAAATTCTGAGTAGGGCTTGTGACACTGAAAATGAAGTACCTGGAGTTGGTGCCCGCGGGGAAGAGGTTCACAGCTTTAATTAACAACTGCAAATCGTCCTCGGGCCAGTTCTTACTTCCCCCTCCACCGCCGCCGCTCGACTTCTCTGAGCTCTTGGTTGCTTGGCGCATTCGAGCCTCTGCCTCTTCTTTCTCTTGCCTTATTTGTTCATTTATTTCTTCTATCTAAAGGATGGTAAATATGCATCATTTCTTACATTTCACATTTGTGTAAGTGTCTCACTCTAGGATTGCTTTAAACCTGGAATTCTGCTTTGTTTCTGCCCTGTACATTATAGCTACACAATCAGAGCCTACCTACTGCAGTGTTATTTTCCTCCATCACCTATATGAATTTGCACATCCCGAATTAGCAGCTACAGCAGGAATCCTTCACAAATTCATTAGCAATGAAGGGAGTGTTTCTGTGTGCTGCACAAACAGTGGAAAATGCCCAAGTTTTCCTCAGCTGGCACTGGTTGCTTTGCCAGTCCTGAACACCACTCTGTACAGAGCAGAGATCAAGTGTGCCCAGGYGCTCTGCAGCTCAGCCCTGTATGTTTAACAGGAGGATTCCACAGCACCTGGGTTACGTCCTGTACCTTGTTTAGATTCTGCCAGGTAATTTCATAAGTCTCATTATCCTCGTATGTTGATTTGTCACTCAGCATAATTACCTGTTTTACAACAGCCGCCTTTCCTCCTTCCCTTGTTGTGGATGTAAGTGCTTCATTCAAGCATTGCAGACTAAAAATAAATTATTAAGTTACATTGGATGGCTAGTATAAAGACGGGTAGCAAAATGAGCAGGAATCAGGGTAAGGAAAGCTTACCTTGCTAGTTCAAGGCGATCACAAAGCTTTTCCACCTCCTCCATCATTTTAACACAATCTGCCTCATTATCAGAAAAGTAATTCCAGTTCTGGAAGCAGAAATACATGTTCTACCTTGAACTTTATTGTCCTGGATCCTCAGGCAAAGGCTCAACACTCAAGCATTCTTCAGACATTGCTGTGTTTGGGCCTATTTGGCCAGCTTTGCTTATAACTCAAAATTGCACGATAACTTTAGGATTTGGCTTTTTAGTAAACTCAATTTTCATTCCCATCTCTGGCCATAAGAAAAAGGCTGTGACGGGGTCTGGTCTAAGCAAGCGTAATAACCTCACTAATATAATGTGTGTTTCACTATAATAATATTTAAATACCTTGCATGTTGTTCTCAACTTTTGCCTTTCTTTCTTGATTGCTTTTTTCTGAATCTCTTTCTCTTTTTTTGCTACTAATGCTTGTTGCCTAACTTCTTCTTCCTCCTTCTCCTTTGCTAAACGGGCCGCTTCTAATTCTGCTTGTCTTTGCTGCAATCAAAGAAAGAGAAAAGAAAATCCACACTGTTATAGGTCACTCAAGCATTCAGCATTTAAATGTGCAGTTTCCTCTTTTTTTTTTTTTTTTTTTTTTTTNAAGGGCTATATTGGTAATTTAACATACTTTTTTCCAAGGATTTCAAGAGAGAAGGTAAAGTCTATGTCAGTTGGCATTCATTCAAATACCTCACTCACTATAAAGACTAATAGTTTCTATATCCAGTTCCCCTGAAAATAAAGATATGAGACWGGAAGGTATTTCCTATACCTGTCCCCAAATGGCTTTATGGAAAAATGCAGTGATTCAGCCTTTCTGCTGTACCACTACTAACTTAATACCTTGCAATTTTCCAGGTTTATCTAAGTGACTTTTTAGGACCTTACATTTCTATACTGTTTTCAGAGTCATCTTGTCTAAACTGCTAATATTATCAGGTACATCATGTACCTCAGAGCTTCACCCTGATCAGTCCCTCACGGAGCATATCCACTCAGACAGATAGGCAAGCAGCTCTATSCGTTTTATGACAGAGGAAAAGGAGTCACAGAAGTTAATGACTGCCTTGAAACGAGAGAAAACGTGTGCAACAACAACAAATCACATGCWGAAGTCTCTTGTTTCAGATTTCTGTTCCATAGTTTAATCCCATTCTCAAAAAGCTGAGTCTTGCCCTGCCCTTGCCCCTGCTGTACAGGGGACAGACAAGAGATCTGAGAGCCCAACRTACCAGCTCCAACAGCAGTTTTCTAACACTTCTAGAAGATTAAGTTGTGGATCAGGGTGTGAATGAACTAGCAGGATTCAGTCCTAATAAACCAAGTTAACTTACTTTTTCTTTTGCTTCCTGCTCTTTACGTTTTGCTTCTACTTTGGCTTTCTTCTCTGCTTCTTTCTTTGCCTTTTCTTCTTCCTTAAATTTTTTTATCCTGGGATCACAGCTGTACGCGTTGTCTGGCAGAAGAAACAAGGCATCATGGACAAGAAGAGAAAAACAGGAGGACATTTCTGCTGTTAGTTAATAAATATCTCCTCTCAAAGAACAGTTTTTATGCTCACCAACAAGTGTCCTAATTCTGTTCATTTCTTCTTTTTTTCTCAACGCTCTGGCTGCTCTGTTCTGCTTTTCAATCCACCTCCTTTCATCTCGACTGAAAAGGAAAATCATAGTTTAGTACTAATGTTTAGTGTCAGTTTAGTGTCAGTAATGGTCTGTCAGAAATCCAGCATTTAAATAAAGTTTCCCCATACACATGCTTTTCTCCATGTACTTCAAAAAAATATATATTTTTAAGAGGAGATGCAGGCCCCAAGCTCTCATTGAGACACGAGGCACTTGATGCAACCAGCCAAACATTTCAGGACACCTGAAACACAACTGAACCAGCACAACCATCACTGCAGGGAGTAAGCCCATGGACTTCCAAAGCACTTGCTGACCTGACATGTAACCCAAGCAGAACAACAGAGATGCTGATGTACAGCTCAATTAAAGGACAGCAGTAGAATTAATGCCTCTGATTTTACAGAAGACAGGTCACATCGAATAAATATGTGTGCCCAGGATATCCACGACACTCTGATGAACCCACRATGCAAAACAGGTCAGGTTAA